CACACACACACACACACACACACACACACACACACACACACACACACCCCATCTGGGCTAGTATGACTGAAACTAGCCAGGCTGTATTCCTCCATATACAATCTTTCATATGGCCAGCATAGACTTCCTCCAGTATAGCCATCTCAATGTGGCAGGAATTTTTAAAAGTGTTGGCTTCTCTCACATCACCATTCCATAAAGTCTAGGAGAAACCTGGCTCATCATAACCTAGCCTTAAAGTTCATATTAACACTACAATGGATGTATGATCTGAACCACATGGATGTATCTTCTTAACCACAATGAATGTATGTTCTTAACAGCAATGGATATATGCTTTTAACCACAATGATTATATAATCTTGACCAAAAACCCCACACCCCAGTGTTGGGGAATATTATTTTAAGGTGTGTTACTTTTGTTTATGTTGTACTTGTTTAACTCTGTGAAGCTGTGTTACTGTGCCTGTCTAAAACACCTGATGGTCTAATAAAGAACTGAACGGCCAGTAGCGAGGTAGAAGAAAAGGTAGACGGAGCTGGCAGGCAGGGAGACTCTATAGGAAGAGAAATCTGGGAGGAAAGAAGTAGCTAGAGAAGGAGGAGGACATCAGGGGCCAGCGACCCAGTCAGTCACAGAGAAAGAAGGAAAGTATGATGTGGAGAAGAAAAGGGAAAAGCCCAGAGGCAAAAGGTAGATGGGATCATTTAAAGATAAAAGCTGGCAAGAAACAAAACAAGCTCAGGCCCAGCACTCATAAGAAAGAATAAGACTCTGGGTGTGATTTATTTGGGAGCTGGGTGGCAGCCCTCCCAAAAGAGCAAAAACAACCAACAACATTTTGGCATACCAAGGTGGTGCTTGAATATCCCTAGGGCCTGAGAATGCTGAAAAGAAAAAAAAAAAATATGGCTCCTGTAACTTTCTGCCAGACAGTTTCTGCTGGTCAGTGAGCCCTGGAGCAGCTAGTAGGTTAAGTAGGAAAAAAAAAAGTTTAGAACTCTAGGAAGGTTGAATACAGTTCTCAGCATGAATGTCTGATGGGGCTCCTGTCCAAATAGCCTCCAGTGCTTCTCCTCACCCCTCCTTAAAGACCCTTCTCCACCTGGCTCCTCCCTACCACTTCCTGTCAGCTAGTTGCTGACTCAGCCTCCTGAGGGCAGGTGAATTTTATTTAATCAAACACATCTTTGAGTCATTAAACAAATGTTCCAGAGCATAAACAAAAGTAACACACCTTAAAATAATATTCTACAACGCCCCAGGGCCCATCTCTTTCCAAGATAAAGGTGATCATTGGGCTGTGAGCACTACAGAGATGATGACTCACTGAACCGCATGGCTGGAGAATAGCAGGCAGACACAACTACCTAGCTTGGAAGAGTGACTTCTGGACTGAGCCACTCTTTTGGCAAGAGTCTGTTCCCTAAGGTAGAACTTAATGAGTTCCTGAGCTATGACCTTAGTTGCTGGAGAACCTAAGTGATTTGAACTCATTCCAGAGTGGCTCCCAAGTCAGTTGAATTGCTGTATATTTATATACTACAGAGCATTGGCAGAGAAATGGAAATCATAGACAAGACTTAAATGTGTATGTAAAGTTTAATGGAATGCTAAGAAGATATTTCTTGAAGAGATCAGAGCAAACAGGAAAAAAAATCTCTAATTTCCTAGATGGAAGATTTACTGTTCCATTTATCAATTGTAAGTCTTACCATTTACTAGACAAATTAATAAGATACCTATAATGTAGGGATAACCGGCTAAGAATATTAAAGTCCAAATTTACTCTATTCATGGAGAAGAGAAGCCAAAATAGATAATTACAGAGTGGAGGAAGGTGTTACTTTTATTTATCTTATCAATGGTGAGAATTGATGTCACACAAATGTAGAATCAAGTATCAAATCTTCTATGATATAAAGTTAAATTGGTTACTGATATGATAAATCTTTAAATATGCCAAAGTGAAGAAATATAATTTCCAAATAATATGTATGTAAAATTAGATGAGGTCAAAAGATAAAATATACAGGGAATGAACAGTGAGGGAGAAATTCTATTAATTTTCTAATCTTTCATGTCAGAATCATTATTATTATTCCTTTGATGTTTAGTGGAACGACACAATTTGAATCAACCGGGGAATTAAAGGTTTGACAAGAGCTTAAAATTCCACTACGTAAACAAGGGTCCACACCTTGTGCAGATAGGAAAAGAACATAGGCAAAGGAAGGCACTGTGACCAATGCTAATTAGAAATAAAGACACTCCAAAAGCAAAATTAAGTTCACTAAAAACCATTAGCAAATAAATGCAATTGGTCTAAACCTGTTTGTTTTCAGTAACAAAAATAACTCAGTATCACAAATACATTTCAAATCTTACTATAACAAAAAAATCATAAATAGAACGTAAGAATAAGTAGTTAAAATAAAGTATGAGAAAGATATAAATTAAAACAAAACATGAAATTTAGGTTATAACCAAAATATTATATTCAAGGGAACATTTGTTAGTACTAAAGAAAAAAAACAACAATAAAATTCCCACAAAAACCAAAACCAAACAAACAAAAACCAGTTTCTTTCCTTGACAAGGAATAAATTTAAAAGGAAAATTATAAAAATTATAATAGTCATGAACATGTCATAAACATTGGATGTTCTTACAGTCAAGTGCTTGACTTTCAAATTCTGTGGAAGACAGTATTAGAAAAAAGTCCCTTTTATGATTTCAACCCCCCCCCCAAATACTTAAGCAATGGCTGGCAATTTAAATCTCTCCAGTACTTGTTTAGAGTTCTAAATAAATTGTTTATAAAAAAAAAGGACAGTTTCCTTATTTGTAATTCTTTCTTTTCTTCCTTGTAGATCAACAGACTTTTCTGGATCAACAGTGGGTCTAGCGTTCATGTCTTCAATGTGTTCTCCTTACCATTCTGTTGGCATCATTCAGGTCTGTTTGAAGATCAAATGTTGGTTCTATGCATCTCACAAATTCATAAAATATTGTCTTAATGAACAATGATGATGCATCTTTAGGATCCCTGCCTCTAGACTCAAGTGTACTATCAGCCTACAGTTTTATTTTCATAGAATGTGATTTTAAAGGTTTTGTTGTTATTGTAAATTTGGCCACATTCAAGGAGTTGGAATATATTCCCAACTCTGATTTTCTGCACAATTGGAGTAGACTTGCTACTGTATCTTCTAAAATATTTAACACAATTCACCAGGAAAACTGTGTAGGAGTGTAGTTTTCTTTTCATTTGGAAAGAATTTTGAAATCAAATTTCAATGATTCAGTCAATTTTGGACGGTTCTGTATTTAAGCAACCTTGGTAGTTTCATCTTTCGGGAGGAAAAAAGATGTCTATTTATTTAGTGGGCAAAAACTGATTGATTATATCCCTTACAATCTTTGCTATATGGAGCTAACTTACAACCTTATCCCCTTTCTTATTTATGGTATTGATCATATGTGCCTTTTCTTTTTGTTGTGGCCAGTTTCAGTAGGTGTTTATCAATTTCTTTGATCTTTGCAAAGATAATTTGTAGTTGGATGTTTCTTTCCTGCCTACCTGTTCCCAAATATCTGGCAGCTGCTTCCCAAATAATTGATTTGGAGGCTTAATATTACTTACAAATACTAGGTCAATAGCTCAGGCTTATTATTAGCTAACTCTTACATTTTAATTTAACAATTTAGCCCATATTCCTTATTTGCCCTCTGCCATGTGGTGGTACCTTTATTAGTGTGGCACATTCCTCTCCTGCTCCCCCTGCATCTGCTGGTGATTCTCTGACTCCACCCTTTTCCTTCTCATCAACTTCAGTTTGGTTGCCCCACTTCTACTTCCTGCCTGGCTACTGGCCAATCAGTGTTTTAGTAATCCAATTCAAGTGACAAATCTTTAGAGTGCACAAAAGAATTATTCCACAGCAATCATTGATTCTTTCAGTGGTTTTTCCTCTAAACTTCATTGACTTCTGGCCTTGTCTTAGTAATTATCTGTCCTTTATTTATATTGTATTTAATTTGTTCTTCTTTAATGCAATCAATGCCTCACTATGTATTTTAGCTGCATTGATACATTGAGTATATTTTATTTCTTTCACTTTAAATATTTCATAATTTTTGTTTTTAGACCTAACTCATATATTATTTATAAGTGTTATGTAAAATTGTTTATTATTATTTTTATGCACTGGATTGTACTCTGTAGAATTTTGATTTTTGATACTTGTCTTTAGTTGATGGTTGCACCTAAACTGACATAAAAGGGTCTTCTGTTAGTGTTCTAGAATTGTCAATAATATCCAGGTAATTTTAGTGTTGTTTGGATCTGTTCAGTCTTAATGAAAAGTGGGCATTGAAACACATAAACATAGTTACTGGTTGGTTCATTTTTATCTTTCAACTTTGTAGTTTTGCTTCATGGGTTTTGAAGCTCTGTTGTTAGATTTTATATATATAAGTTTAGTCATTGTCTTCCTGAAGAGCTGACCTTTTGTTGTCTCACAATCCTCACAAATGTTTAGCCTCGAAGTGCTGATTATTCTGGTGTCCACTTTGTCTAATGTTGAAATGGTTACACCAACATTTTGAGATTACTGTTTGAATGATAAATCCCTTTCCTTATTTGTGTGTTTTTGGTATTTGTGTGCGTGTGTGTGTGTGTGTGTGTGTGTGTGTGTGTGTGTGTGTGTATGTGTGTGTGTGTGTGTAAGAGAGAGAGGGAGAGAGAAAGAGAGATCTGCAGCTGAACTCAACACCAGAAAGAGTATGTCACCATGAGAGGTACATGCCGTTTTCCATGTTATTACCCTTAGGACTACAGTAACTACCATCTTCGAGTTGCAGGGACAATGGCCCATGAAATGGGCCACAACCTCGGCATGATCCATGACTACTTGAGCTGCAAGTGCCCATCTGAAGTCTGTGTAATGGAGCAGTCACTAAGGTGAGGGTGTTGGGGACACACTGTGTGTCCCTGGTTTTGATGTCCTGTGGTTGGTGCTAGGCTCAAGCTCATAGTCAACACCTTGTTAAAGACTTTATGTCTTAGAATTAGAAGAATTTTAATAAAATCAGGAAGCTTACATTTTTATATCTTGGAGAATATATATATATAACACCTAATAATAAGCAAAGGAAAACGTCACAGGGACAAAGTTTTGTGTGGAGAATAATCTGAAAGCAAGGGATAACCCAAGTTTGCAGGAGCCACCATTGACCAGTGTGATCCTCTAAGTCACTGGCTGTGTTCCTGGAGTAACAAACACAGCTCAAGGAGCCTCTCAGTCCTGTGTCTCAGGACTCAGACACAGTGCCCACAGCCTTGGTGACACTTCTATGTTAAATCTGGATAGGTAACAGCAGATAAATAAATAAATAAATCATAAAGTTAAATCATATTGACCACCAAATATTACTGCAAATACTAAAAATTATTTACTTCATTTAATTCCATTTAATTTATAATTAATTTGATATTTGAATCCTTTACTGGTGAATCTGTGCCATATGAGCTTATCTGCACCTCTATGAATTTTTAAAATTATTTATTTAGATGTGGATGGTTGTTTGGCTTGCATGTGTGTCTGTGCACCACCTATACCCTTGGAAGACAAGAGGGCATCGTATCCCCTAAGACTGGAGTTACAGACAGTTGGGAGCTGCCATGTAGGTGTTTATAATCAAACCAGGGTCTTCTGAAGGATGAGCCGGTGGGTGGTCTTAACTTCTGAGCCATCTCTCCAGACCTTAAACCTAATTTTTAAAAAAACAGTCATACTAGAGACACATTCTCTTTTTGGGGTTGGGGCAGCTCATCATTTTATTCTCGTGTTATCTACATGGCTCAAGCAACAAAAAAATTATTTTTGCCAAATTTTTGTAAAAATTTTGTCAAATATTCCATAAACTCAGAATGGGTGATTATAGGGGAAGAGTTTTTGAAGAAAAATCTGATGATGTCCCTGAACATAAGAATAAACAAAGAACAAGTGGTACATTTACATAATGGAGTATTACTCAGCTTGTTAAAAAAATGACATCATGAAATTTGCAGGCAAATGGATGAATCTAGAAAAAAATCATCCTGTGTGAGATAACCCAGACCCATAAAAACAAATATGATCAATCATCATCAGAGAAGCTTCCTGCAGCAGATGGGAACATATGCAAACATTAGAGGGTGAGAAACCTTGGAACATTCAGCCTTAAATGGGATGTCTCCTTCATGCTATTCCTCCTCTCAGAGCTCAGGAAACCTTGCAGAAGATGGGGTGGAAACAGTGTTAGAGCAAGAGGGGGTAGAGGGAACCCAGAAAACAAAGCAATGTAAATCAACACAAGCAAAGTGTCTATGAATTCACAGACTTAGGCAGCGTTCACAGGGCCTGCGCGGGTCTGCACCAGGCCCTCTTCATGTGTTCTGTGGCTTCCAGTTTGGTGTTTTTGTGGAACTCCTGAGTGTGTGAACAAGTGCATCTTTGATTCTTGTACCTTCTCTTGGGGTCTTTTCCTTCTGTTGGTTTGTTTTGCCCAAATTTGATGTGATATTTTTTGCTTTGTCATATTCTGTATTATATTTTGTTATATTCTAGCATTATCTCAAGGAAGCCTTTTTTTTAAAAATGAGAAATAGAAAGGGAGTGAATCTGGATGGGAAGGGAGGTGAAGAGGAACTGGGAGGAGTAGACAGAGGAGAAAACATAATCAGATATATTATGTGAAGAAAAGGAAATTTTCAAAACCAGAAAAAAAAAAAACTTCTCACAGGAAAAAATTGGAAAAGATATTTATATCCCGGTCTTGCTGGAAAAATTTCCAGGCAATCTTATCTTGAAGGATTTCACACTATCTATCTATCTATCTATCTATCTATCTATCTATCTATCTATCTATCTATCTATGAATATATGAATATATATCTCATTTTTTCTGTTCTTACTTTTCTGCTAACTCTATTACTGAGTAATTTTTTTTCTTGTTCCTTCCCCCAAAAGTACCTGGCTTCTCTCCAGTTCCACAGTTAGTGTCATTTCTCCCAGATATTATTGCATGTTTAAGCCTCACCTTCATTTATAAGATGAAAAGTACTTATCTAAAGGAATAAGATCTATGCATAAAATGTGCAAAGATGTTAGATACATGCATGAAATACAATTGTTTCCCCAAATGATCCAGGGATGAGAGAGATGATCTGAGTTGGCCAAGAAGCATTTTTTTTTTTGTTATCATTAAAAGTGGTCATCATGCTACACTTTGCCAATGGTCATGTTTACCCACTAAGCTGAGATATTCAAATCCACACATGTGGGTGAATTTAGAAATGTAGATATTCTCATAACTTAGTACCTCGTCAGTGTGTTGCAGTTGATGTCTGTGGTAATTTGTACCATTGTAGTTGATGTCAGCCATTACTCCCCACATTTAAAGCATGGCTGTGCTGCTTTTTCTCCTTCTTTACCCACATAGGTTCCATATGCCCACAGACTTCAGCTCCTGCAGCCGTGCCAACTATGGGAAGTTTCTTGAAGACAGATTATTGTCCCATTGCCTCTATAACACCCCCTTGCCTTCAGATATCATATCCATCCCAGTCTGTGGGAACCAGTTGGTAGAAATGAATGAGGACTGTGACTGTGGCACCCCCAAGGTACTTCTAGCCCTTTCTAAAATAAACTGGTTCATTTATCAGTTGCTAAGAACATAAAGTGTATAATTGTATAGCCCACCATAAAACTGAACGTTTTTTGGGACTTTGGATAGGAAGGTATTTTTCAGGCTAGTCTGCTAAGGAGCGTGCAGATCTTCATCTATCTTTTTCTTCTTCACTAGATCCCTTTTCATTCTGACTTTGTAGCCCCCCACCAACAATGTCCCTTGCAAAGGGACTGGCTTTGGAATGTCTTCAGAATAAAATTAAATATTTATTTCTTCTATCTGCAGGGATAGTCTTTCTCTGATGATGTTTTGACTTAAACTTAGGGAAGTAGTTTTAACTCTAAAAGTATTGTAATTCTTGAAGTCTCGTTTTTTTGTTTTTTGTTTTTTGTTTTTTTTTTTTTTCAGTAGGATTCTTAACAGGTACAATAGGAATCTCCTGAGGCTCCAGGTTCTCCAGTGCCTGTAAAGAAAGGATTTGGATCTCTCAGAAACAAAAAACCAAGATCAAAAACAATTATATTGCTTTCATGGGTATCCAGGCATTTGTCATTGCAATATGATGTCACTTACAAATGTATTGAGCTACATTAGTAGTTATTCTGGGGTATGTGCTAGAATTAAATTAATGGCCAGAGTATGTATGTTAAAGATTAATTTAATAATATCCAGTATCTATGTGGAAGACAGAATTGAATTAAAGATGAGATAGAAACATAACTAATGAGTAGGGTTAATCAAGTTGGATTGTTCTAAAATCTATCTTTTCCTTTTGTTTTCCTTCATATTTTATCAAAAAAATAGAACTTAATAATATTCATATGAAGGACTTGTGGGGAATATATTTGTTCAAAAGGATAGACAGTATATGTCCGTTAAAATATATGTAAGTTAAAGTCAGATAAACACAAGCCACCAGATGCTCAGACTCTTTCTAATGTCTTTGTTTATCTTTATTTTTCTAAGGAAAATTTTAAGTGCTACCAAGTAATGTGTATATGTGGCAAATAAGCTATATTATGAATTGTACTAGAATAATATACCACTTTTATCTGTGGCTGACATTTTCTAGGAATGTACCAATAAATGCTGTGATGCAAAGACCTGTAAGATCAAAGCAGGTTTCCAATGTGCCCTGGGAGAATGCTGTGAGAAGTGCCGAGTAAGTTTCATTTGTTCCAATTTTTACAATTATGATTATTTTTCTATATAAATGTTTCAGTGATTATGTTAAGTCAAACAGGCAGAGCAATGTTTTTCTTCCTAGAAAATAATGACTCAATCACTCTTTTCAAATTCAACCCGTCTCCCAATAATGCAAAGGAGAATTATCTCATTTTTCTTTTGAGTGAAAGGAGGCTTAGAGAGGAAAATATGAAAAAAATAGTATGTCTCCTATTTGTGACAACCAGGATAATCCAGGAGGGCATTATACCAAGTGAAAGCGAACAGACCCAGAGAGACAAGGGCTGCATAATCCCTTGTAAATCCATACTCTAAAAATGCTGACTTTAGAGCTGGGCATGTAATTCAGCTGGCAGAGTGCTTGCCCAACAAGCATGAAGCCCCAGGTTCAATCCCCAATAGAGTATGAATCAGGTATGGTGACTCACATCTCTAATCTCAGCATTCAGGAGGTAGAGTAACAGGATCAGAAGCTCAAAATTATCACTGGCTGCATGAAGAGTTCAAGGCCAGCTTGGAACACATGGATTACACACACACACACACACACACACACACACACACACACAAGCATACCAAAATGCCACATTGTTCATCTTAAATCCATACAGAATAATTTTTGAGAAATAAAAACATGGTCATTATTCAGTAGGCAAACCAATGTGGGCAAACATGACCAGCTCCAAGACCATTGGGAGTTTCCCCTTTGGCTTCTCATACTGCAGGGCCTCCCAAGACTGCATCATATGAACTGATCAAACCTGCCTGTACTGATGGATCTGTTAGAAAAGTATTTTGAATTGAATGAGGCTTCTTGTACCTTAAATCAGGACCCAAATTCAAAAGCACATTATTCAAATCTAAATCCAAGGGCTCACCCTCACTTCATAGAGGATTAAAAGAGCAGAAGTCTATATTAGAGAGCTCAGAGGACACTTCATGTGAAAGGAGTATTTCCGATGACGAAGAAACAGAAATGAGTTGATTTCAGATTTAGATTTAGACATCAAAAGAAAGAACATCTAAATGATAAGAGAGGGCACAAAGAAGGGACTTGGTGAGGTTTGGTTAAGAGATCCAGGCTGGTTGGAGCAGTAGAAATTACATTTGGAGGGTTGGTGAACTCTGGCTGCAGTTTTGGTCTGGTCCTGTAACTGGTATTAAAACAGTGGAAGTTGTTTGGTCCATGAGATGAACTGTGCCTACTCACACAGCCAGCAAAGGATGAGCCTCCTCTGATTTGCTGAAGTGGCAGAGTAGTTGGTTTTTATCAAGGTTTCTCTGAGGAAGTAAGGGCAAAATGTACAGTACTGTTGCAACAGAGTTCATATAGCAAGGGGATACTTGGTTATTTCTTTCTTCACAATGCAACATTCCACAACAAGAGTTGACAAGAACTGCCCAAATCTGCAATGAAAAGAACCCAGGAAACTCGATGCCTGGGAAAATCTTGAGGTATGCAGAGCTGGCACTTGCAAAGCTGTCTCCTTTTTCCAGAAGGTTCACTTAACTAGCAAATCCTAAAGTTGCAGACTTAAATCTTACAAATTCAACAAAAGGAGAGATATAACTCTCCGCTCTCTATCTGAGACATTGCCTGGCATGCCTCTTATGTTAATACATGTTTCTTTACTTTTTGTATTGCAAATTCAAACTATGAATTGCTTAAAGACTCAGAGTATTGGCCAACATCAACACTAGTGAGATGACATGTATGTAGTCCAAATTAAATTACAGTAAAATTATGCCATAACCCAGAAGACCAAATGGATTGTTTGTATTAATCTGAGGTGTCAGAGCAAGGGGCAGGGTGACATATATTTTCTGGTTTTATTTTCTTGCAGCTTAAAAAGGCTGGGGCTGTGTGCAGAACAGCAAAAGATGACTGTGATCTGCCTGAGATGTGTGATGGTAAATCCAGCCACTGCCCAGTTGACAGATTCAGAGTCAATGGTCACCCTTGCCAAAATGGGCGTGGCTATTGCTTGATGGGCAACTGTCCCACCCTGCAGCAGCAGTGCATGGAGATGTGGGGCCCAGGTAAGATGCTGACTAGATTAGTTACTTTTTTTGCTACTGTGACAAAATACCTAAAGAAAGACACTTAAGGAAAAGAGGGTTGATTTTGTCTCTTAGTTAGTTCCAGGGGAAGTCCTTCATGCTAGAGAAGCCCAGGCTACAGGAGTTTGAAGCAGTTAATTATATTGTATCCCTGATTGGGAATCAGAAGATGAATGCCTGTGCTCAGTTCAGTTCTCCTTTTTATGCAGTCTAGGATTATAGCTCATGGGGTGATGTCATTCAAGGTGGGCTTTCCCTCCTTAGACAAGCATTTCTGGAAACACACCCACAGATACACCCAGAAGTGTGTTTCCATGGTGAATCTAACACACATTAGGTTAGCAATGAACATTAGTATCACAGTGGCAATTCCCTTCCATGTCAACATCATCTCAGTGATGGTGTGTGGCCTTGGTCAAAGGACCAATCTCATTCTTCCTAGAAACGGTGTCACTTTTCAAAATCATAAATAAGTATATTTAAAATTTTTAATTGGACAGTTTCACACATGAGTACACTGTATTTTACATCAATTCCATCTCTTCCTTTAACTCCTCCCTCCCCACCAACTCCCTCTCAGACTCATGATCTCTTTCTTCTTTTACAATTGTTATTGCTAAACACACACAGAGAGACACTACAGGCTCCATTTAGGGTTGTTTATACATACACAAGTGTCTAGAGCTGACCACTTGGGATTGTATATAGTGTGCTCATAGGTAAAGAAAACATATTTTCCCTTCTTCCACATCCATTTGTTCCTGTAAATTTTCATCTAAATTGGAATCTATTGGATTCTCCTATTCCCTTTGTGTGTTGAATGATGTGGTCATTATGCAGGTCTTGTTTAGGTAGTGGCAGTATTTCATGATTTTGAGATTTCATGGTGCCATATCTAGAAGACATTATCCTGCAGCAAACATCTTGGTCCTCTGGCTCTTACAATCTTTCTTCCCTCTTTTCCATACTGTTCTCAGAGCCTGAGGTGTAGGGGTTGTGTTGTAGAAGTGCTAACTAGGGATGGGGACCCCATAGTCATGTATTCTCTGTGTTTGATTATATTTGGATTTCTGTAATAGGCCCTGCCTGCTGCAAAACATAAAATAAATTTTAAAAAGCTTTACTGATGAGGGGATGAAAGCTACAATTGTTTATGGGTATAAAGATCAATATTTAAAATAAAAGTAGAAGCTGTATTGACTTAGAAAAATGGCAATAGTAATTTTTCTTTTAGTGTCTATGACCTTGCTAGCATGGATTGTTGGTAGTCGCAGGCATGAATTCCCTTGTAATAAACTAGCTATTAAGTCTAATTAGATAGATTTTGATTATCTCAAAGATATAAGTGCCTCTATTGCACCATTGGAGAAATCTTGTTGGGCTGGTCATTGTTGTGGTCAAAGGCACAGCAGCTGTGTAGAACTAGTCTCCCTTGGCAGCTTGCAATGCACCTTCCAATACTTCTGAGGAAAGGGTGCTAGATTATAGAGACATGTGCTGTATAATGTAACTTAAAAGTGTGTGTGTGTGTGTGTGTGTGTGTGTGTGTGTGTGTGTGTATGTCACAGTGAGTGATAACGCTTGCCCCCAAGAGCCATAGATTATCTAACAAGTACCCCACTGACAGGCAATGTAAACCCCCCTTGGAGTTGTAGCACAGGGTGTATCCCAAAGATCCCCCTTAAATATTCCATGCTTTGCCACTGCCCTTGGTTGCCTCCTGGGACTTGAATGTAAGTCCTATTGCTGAGGACACCATGGAGTTCAGACACAGGAAGTGGAGGAATCAAGCTGAATGAGGGCATTGTTTCAAGACCAAAAGTTCAAAGGTAGCAAATAAAAGGGCTGTTCTATTGAAATTCTACTTTTATTTTGACACTTTTTTTTGTTTTAATATCTGTCTGATCATACTGTGTTTGAGACAAGCTTTTCAAAAGTTATTTTTTTAATCTCAAATAATTCATCCATGCACACAGGAAGAGTGACCGTAGAGTTGGTAGATAGGCCATGAGCTCATGTAGGAAACACGTTAATAAAAACCCATGGAATGCAGAATAGCAGCGAGAAAACATGAGAACAATTCAATGACCATTTTTGTTGACTCCAAATTTAGTGTCCACACTAAGGAAATCATAGCACAGGCTTTAAAATAAACGTGATGTAAAGATAGCTAAAAACATTAAGCCCAAATTTAAACTGAATGAAAAAGCTTGATTATAAATTCAAATTTCTAATTAGAGTAATAAGTGTGCTCATTTCTATGTGAAGTCTATAAAGATGTTGAAGTCCTGGAAGGAAATAGCAAACTGCTTGTGAGGCTGTGGGGAGGAAATAGGGAGCCACTGGTCAAAGATTACAAAATTCTACAAAATGAAAGAAAAAAAAATTAACAAGAAAGCAATTATTTGTTCTTCCTGGATGACATGTGTATGATGCCATGTATTGAATTGTCACAGCCTGCATTCTTCCAGATTCCTACATAAATGACACAGGAAATATTTATTCAAAAAGGAATGAAGCTGCACATTCCTAATACTACTTCAATAGTGTTATTGCATGCCAGAAACGTCTCAAAATTTCTGAAAATAAACTTCAACCAAAACTGAGAATAGAACAAAAAATAACCTGTTGTCTACGAAAAACCCAAAAAATCAAGATACCTTAAGATCTTCTAAAAAATCCTACATAAGTCCCTCTATATTCAGCAAGGATAGACTAAGATACAATCTGAGTAGCAATGCCTTTAAACCATTGAGAGTTACCCAGATGTGCTGGAGACTGGCCTCAGCAATTCTGATTACACTTCCTGGGAGCTGATATTCTGAACTAAAGGTAACAGCAAAACTGCTTCTGCTGGTTACTCTCATATATCCTTGACTAGTGTCCTCAGGAGACAGAAACCAAGGAAAGAAAACCCTATGTGCATAAGTGGAGCTCAGCATGTCCTCTTTATTACTTAGTAATAAATGAGTATTAACTTTTTCTGTTTGACTCTATTGTCTGGCTCCATCCCAAGTCTTGTTACATCCTCATTCAGAGACCCAGAATATTTTCTCCATAGTTTTTTTTTTCAGTGCCTGATTTTAGTTGGTATCAAAATTATCTATTGAATTAATATGGAACATATTTATTGGCTATTTGATGGAGAAGACCATTAAATTGTTCATTCAAAGGTAGCCACCATAAAATTCTAGATTTGTCTTCAAATTCCCAGTTTTGTGATTCATAAAAGATCATATTTATTTTAAATTAATCTGAAAAGTTTGTAACACAAATTCATGAAAGTCACACTTTTAGCCTCAAGATATTCCTGGGAATCAAAACTCAAAGTCCTGAAAATGTGATCATGCTATCACAAGTACATTGTTATAGTAAGGAAATGAAAATGCCCAACCAATAAAGACTAAAACTGCCTTTACTCCACAGCTCTATAAACGGTATTAATGAACATAAGCTAAACTTTAACCTTCTGCATTTATAAACCACCAAAGACTGGTTGCAGGTTTTAGGAAAGATGGCACAGAATGTTCACGTACTACCACACACTACTGGCAAAATGTGGATTAGGGAAATGTTTACAGAGATGAAGATTTGGAAAACAACACACACAGCCAAAGGCACTGCATTGCCCTGCTTTGCCCTAGCAGCTAAACTCTGAAATATTTATCAATGAGAAGTTTTCCTCCAACATTGTCCTTTATGGCAATGAGTAATTGAAGAGGAATTTAAAATCCAAGAATAAAGATGGATCAAACAAATGATAGTGCATTAATCTAACACTGATTCTTCTTCTTTTAAAGATTTATTTATTTTATGTATATGAGTGCTCTCTCCTCATGCATGACCTTACGCCAGAAGAAGGCATCAGATCCCACTATAGATGATTGTGAGCTACCATGTGGGTGTTGAGAATTGAACTCAAGACTTGTGGAAGAGGAGCCAGTGCTCTTAACCACTGAGCCATCTCTCCAGCCCCATGTTTTTGTTGTACTGTAAAATGTTTAAAGTCTAGGAAAAGCATAACAATGTTACTGGCTGGCAAAAGTTAGCTACAAAGGTACCTGATTGCGGGTACATGAATGATACTTTCAAAAATATTAGAATCTGTAACTCAGAAGTTAGGGATTTTTTACTATGACATTTCCTTTGTTTATATGTTGGATTATTTGTTCCCAGAATATATCTATATTGTTATAATAAGGAATTAATATGTTGCTAAGGCCCAAATAATCCAAGAAATATAGTTACAAAGGTTTTATCATCTTGAATAGTAAAACATGAAATTCATTAAAAATATTTCAAGTTTATAAATCAATATCATGTTTTTTTTCCTTGAAAACAGAACAAACCCTCATAAGCTTTTGCTCATTTTACTTTTGTTGATTATCCCTCAAAGGTTTATATCTAGCTTGCCAGAGTTTACGAGTTGTTCATCACAGAGTGGGATAACTTGAGTCAGGGCCTGAGTCTGTGGCTTGGGGAGAGGTGGGTGAAGCTGGCTTCTTATCTTCCTGTATAACTTGAGGTGGGTCTCCACTTCCTTGTGGATAACCCGAGAATGGCAGTAAGAACCCACATACTACTGAACAGGCCCTGTTCTTGGTGGCTTACATAGATCATCTCATCAAAACTGAGTTTATGAACTACACCACACACCCTCATTTTAGAGGTGAGCAAGCTCAGTGCTTAAGTAAGATACTTGCCAAAGTTCAAGCACTTGCTAAGTTGTGCTTAAAGCCTGAGTTCTGAACCTTGGAGCTTTGTGCCCATCTGATGGCTGTCTGAGGCCAAGTGCATGGGAAATGGAAGGTGTGATTCTTGGCACTGTACTTGGCACACAGGAGGCATTTGGTTAAACATAGCTGCTATTTGTTGTGGCTGCATTTCATACCTGACTATCAATGCTTGTTGGTCTTGAACATAATGATGCAATGGCAGCAGCCCTCTGGCTAAGTCTTCTATTTGGGTGAAATTTTTAACCTTCAGCAACTCCTACAGATATTTTCAAATACCTAAATAGCAATTACAACAGAATATTTAAAAGACCACTTTAAATTCTACCTTACTACTCTGACATTAAATTATTGAGGCTTGTGTATCTGCAAATTCTCAGTAGAAGTATGCCAAAATAGCACAAACACAATATATCCCTGATCTCAAAAATCTGAACACTAGATGCTCCAAAATACAGAATTATTTTAAATGTCAACATCTACTTATGATCTTCATATAATAGGTTAAAGTTCAGGTACTCTAAAAATGAGTAAAGTGACCAGTAGCTATGTGTTTAAAATACATATAAAACAGTAAATGAATTTTACTTTTGGGGTGGGTTCTATTCTGTAGCTATCTCAAGGTATATATGAAAATACCTCAAAGTATAAAAAAATTTGCAAGCCAAAACATTTCCAATTGCAAGGACTTTGAATAAGGGATATTCAATCCGTACTTTTAATGCTAACTTTATATTTTGTACTCTATAATATTACATTTCCTATCTATTTTCTCTCCAAATATGTCACTTTCATCTCTGTGTGATCCCAGGAACCAAGGTTGCAAATAAGTCATGTTACCAGCATAATGAAGGTGGGTCAAAGTACGGATACTGTCACATAGAGAACGGCACACACATGCCCTGCAAAGCAAAGTAAGTGGCAGTATTGTTTGAATCTTCTCCCCACAGTCTCCACTGGGACAACGGCACATTTCCTCCCACATTTGTTGGCTTATTCTGGTTCAAGAGAAAGTGACTTCTCGGCTAGAGAGATAGTTCAAAAGTTAAGGGCACTTTCTGCTATCGCAGAAGACCTGGGTTCAATTCCCAGCACCCACATGGAGGCTTCCAAACAGCTGTAGCTACAGTTCCAGGGGAACCGAAACCCTCTTTTGACTTCCTCTTGCAAGTGGTACACATATACACATGCAGGCCAAACAGTCTCTCTCTCTCTCTCTCTCTCTCTCTCTCTCTCTCTCTCTCTCACACACACACACACACACACACATATAAAATAAATACATCTAGAAAAATATTTTTAAAGAAAGTGGATATACTTGAGGTACTTTTTTAATCTAGTGTTTTTCATTATGAGTTTTGGGGTAGAAATTTTTTATCTATCCAGGAAACAGCCATTCTAATATGTGTGTGTGTGTATATATGTATTATATATACTACATATATATATATAAAACAGGATATATAATAAATAATATAATATATATACATATACTACAGGATAAATATATATATATATATATATAATTGTATTTCAATTTGTTGTGGCATTTGCATGAGAAAGAATATACTAAGAAAAGTGGCCAACAATTCACCTGAAGCACTCATTTTAATTTCAGTATTAATATTCTCAAAGATAGGTAAAAATCACACCAAATGAACTTGAGATTTTTGTATAAATTTTTATTCTGCCACTTTAAGAGGACCTTTAAAATTCAACTTAAATATGTTGTTTTTTAATTTATTTTTAGTTATGTATATTAGGATGTGTTTATGTGTGGATGCCACACGTGTGCAGGTGCCCACAGAGGCCAGAAGAGGGCATCATATCCCCTGGAGCTGGAGTTAGAAGGGTGCTGCTCGGAAACAGAACTCCGATCCTGTGAAGGAACAGCAAATACACTTCACAAACAAGCGCCTCTCCTGCCTTCTAAGGGATATAATAATGGATCAAATGTTTATGCCCGGTCCAAATTCTGTAGATATCATTTATAACAAAAGGTTGAACAGCAGGAGCATTTTTCAGAGTTTTCCTACTGAACACTGATATTGCTAGACAATATTAACAAATTAGTTGGGATGTAGAGACCATTGGAGGGATCTGGGCCTAAAGGACAGACTATGTAGAATGACCTTTTCTTCATAGAAACTCAGGGCAGATTGAAAAATGAAACAGCTATGGAAAAGGCAATATACAGGGTTCAGCAAAGCAATACATGGGGTGGGAAGGGAGTAGGGCTGGTTCATCCCTCCTCTATGGCCAGTGAGTGTATTAACCTTTACAGCTGTGCTAGCAGCAGATAATGAGTGTAACATGATGCTCAGACACTTGATCCTCTTCCAGACACCACCTAGTCACTTAGTAGTCATTGCCTGTGGTGGGCAGTTATCTCCACATTTCCTGTGCCCAGCACCAGGCTTACAGGTTTGCATGAATCATCCTCTGGTTCTTGAAGAACACCCAGTGGAGTTTGGGAATGCTGTGGCTTCCTAAGGTTACCATCCATATTTTCTCTAACCACAAGCAATAACAGAAAAGTCCCGTTCTCTCCCTTCTAGACTACTTGTACACAAGCTCCTCTGAATAACGCATAAAGCACTTAACTGTGCCCTTATTGGCTTTGACTTTTCTGGAATTTTCTGGTGGTCAGTAATGGCTTCCCTGAGTGTTGAGCAGTTAAACCTACAGACCCAGAGGGAGATCTCTGAGGGCCACACTTAGTACTTTGAGATGTAAGAGACCTCTGGCTTTGTGTAGACCACTTTGTTGTGGAAAATAAGGCTTTTATCTTTTAGAGTTTATCTAAGGGAAGTAAATAATAAAAATAAATGGCTGTCCAGTCACCATTGTGAGGTCAGGGATCTGCCCTTTGTATATCCTCAAGCTCCATCCCCAAGCACTTCTCTCAGTCAGTGATTGCTTCCCCAACTCCACCGATAGGACATTCGGTCCTAGTTTGCTTTCTATTTCTGTGATAAAACACTCTGACCAAAATCTCCTTTTGGAAGAAAGGATTTGAATGATTCACACTTCGATGTTACAGTCCATCACTGAGGGAAGTCAGGGCAGGAACCTAGAGGCAAGAACCTGGAAGCAGGAGCTGATGCAGAGGCCGTGGGAGAATTTTAATTACTCTCTCCACTCCCTCTGGCTTGCTTATCTTGCTTTCTTACACATCTCAACACTGCCTGCCCAGGGATGGCACTGTCCACAGCAAAGCTGGGCCCACCTACATCAATAGTCAATCAACAAACTATCCCACTCACAAACCAGTCTGATGGGAACAATTCCTCAATTAAGATGCTCTCTTCCTAGGTGGCTGCAGTTTGTGTCAAGCTGACAAAGTCCAACACACACTCCATCATCTAAACTGAGGGAAAAAATGCCCAGAAATGGGGCGTGTTCCCTTATTCAAGGCCACCTTCTAGAATTTAGGCTTAAGATTCTGCCCTGACCTCCATTAGCCACAACTTAGGTAACTGGCAAAAATTAGTTGTAAAGGGATCTGTATTTGAAAAACAACACATTTTGTTACTATCCGAGGGTCCTGTTAGTGCAGAATAAGGTCATTGTATATAGATACAACTAGAAGTTACTGCTGCACGGGAAATATTATTTTTTAAATATTGATAGGCAAAGGCTGCTTTGCATTTGTATAAGACTGAAATTTGAATCCTCGGATAAAATTTGTAATTTTGTTCTTGCTGCTGTTGTTTGTAGAGATGCCATGTGTGGGAAGTTGTTCTGCGAAGGCGGGTCAGGTAATCTGCCATGGAAAGGACTTACAATATCTTTCCTGACATGTAAGTTATTCCACCCCGAAGACACCAGTCAAGGAATAGACATGGTGGCCAATGGAACCAAGTGTGGAAATAATAAGGCAAGTTGAAACTGTGCGTCCACAATTCATTGTCCTACATACTTATCTGGATTTTAAATAGCTACTGTTCATTGTGATTTCTGTAATCACAGTCCACATGCTGCTAGGATGATATAGGCTGTAGAGGAACAGGAGAAGAACTAGGAGAGACAGAAATAATTAGGACAATTATTGACTCACACAGTGAGTTCAGAGATACAACAGTCTGCACGGTAAACTCAGTGATGCAATGCTACCACCAAGGACCAAAACTGTCTCTCCTGCCTCCTGCCGTCTTCAGTATTGCTTCTCTTCGCATTCACATACATGCTCACCATCCAGCACTGCAGAAGCAGGAAACACCAGGCGTCCTTTGTGCATCTTTCCTTAACAAGAGGAAATTTTACTCTGAAGCATAATTATGGCCACTGACATGATGTGAGTTTTCATTGCCCAGACATTTATCACCCAGTCACTGGTAGCATACCTGAAAAAGGACGGGGAAGTACCACAGTTAACCTATGTTTGTTTAAGCTTGCCCACAGGACTAAGGAAAGTCTTGGTCTGCCCAGGTGGCATATAGATACCCATCCATTAATAAAAGTCAGATGTCTATAGCCATCTTCATTGTGTGTCAAATAATTCAAATTAGTAGTGACCCTTGAATTCCACTTCAATGCATTTGAATCTTTACTGTTGAAAGTTTCCCATTTGCTTTTAGCAGAGCATTTTTATTCAAATGCAATCATACAAGGAAGCTAAATGTAAGAAAAAAATGAGAACAGCGCCGCATTCAACACCTGTGGCCACCTGCTATGTTCCATGAAGCTCCATGCTCACGATACATTTTTGCCTTTGATTTGTACATGCCATCACCCATCTCTCCAATAGTGTTTAATAAGTGCCCACCACATACTTAGGATCATATTATTGAACTTCATAAATATTTTGGTAGGGCATCTTTCTTTTTTATTCTTTGAGAATTTCAGACATGTATACAGTGAAACATGATCAGATACACCCCATTTCTCCTTCCAACTCTGTTAGTATCCTCTCCAACACTTCCTCTTATAACTTCATTATTATCCCCCCACCCTCATCATTTTCCTCATCCTTCTCCTTCCTTTAATAACTCACCGAATGTTATTAGTACTGCTCATATGTGCAAGGGTGTAGGGCCATACACTAGAGTGTAAACCTACCACTTGTCACACACTCAAAGAAGAACAATTCTCTCTTCTCCAATAGCTATCAATTCCCAATAGCTCCTTAATACAGGCTAGGGCCTAGAGATTATCTACTACATCCAGGCAGAAATGTTGGTTTGCTTGATCTTGTGTAGGCTTTGTTCAGGAAATTGAAACAACTATACCACTCCTGGACATAAACACAAAGGAAATTTATATCCTACTATAAAGACATTTACATACCCATGCTCATTGCCACTCTATGCACAATAGTGAGGAAATGGAATCAACCTAGGTGTGACTCAACAGATGAATGGATAAGGATGATACAGTATGTATACAAAGTGGAATATTAGTGGCAAAGAAAAAATAAAAGCACACAATTTGCAGGTAAATAGATAGAACTAAGACAAATTATTGGGAGTGAGGTAACTCAGGCTCCTAAAGACAAACCTTATCAATTTCCATGCTTTAAAACTGGCGGGTGCTCAGTCAATGCCCGCTCCTCCGATAATGGTACAGAGAAGAAAAAGAAGAATGGCAGCTAATTTCCACTCCCAGTTGTTACTGTAGTAGCATTGTGTGTAATGTGATCTCAGAACTTCCTTCCAGATGTTAATTATAGCAATGCTTAGTTCTGTGACCAGTAATAGCTCCAAATGTGAGGAGCTGTTAGATGAAAAGAAATACCTACCAGGAAGGAAGCAAGGACATCTTTAACAGAGCTTTCTACATATTTTATTATATACTAAAAATGATAGAGTTTGATCTTTCTCAAAACCTGCTAGTGTTTTCCTAAAATGTTGAGGTGGGCTGCTGTTAACTCAGGGGTTAGCAGCACTTGCTGCCATTCCATAAGACCCAAGTTTGGTTTCCTAAACCCATATAGCTCACAACTGCATACAACCCCAGTTCCAGGGAATCCCACACTCCTTTCTGGCCTCTGCAGCCACCTGCATACATATGATATTCACTCACAGACATATAGATTAATAATAATAATAATAGTAATAATAATAATAATAAATCTTAAGTTAACACAACAGGACATCTGCACATATGAACTCAAAGCTGTTGTGACAGCATGAACAGGACCAGTGTAAGCTCAAGCCAGACAAAATCCCAACAAATAGGAGGAAGGCAGGCACAAAGCCCTGCCCCTAGCTGAGGTATTATTGGCATTTGGTGGCTAGTGGAAGACAGATAATTTTCTCTAAAAATGTATTCCCTGGAAAGTTGACCAGACTCTGGTAGAAGGCCACACATTCAAGAATATTTGGACAGCATAAACTGGTTCTGATTCTTTTGTTTTAAAGACACACAAAAAAAGTTGGGTGGGTAGGGGCTGAACTTGGGAAGAGTTGGAGGCAGTAAATATGATGAGAACATGTTGTGGGAAATTCTCAAGGAACAATGAACTAATAAAAAGTTCCTTAAAAGGGTGAGTTTGATGACATAGCATTGATGACAATTTGAAGACTCAAATCCAGCCAGTCTTTGACAGAGATGAACCCATGGGAAATGCTCCATCAAGTTCATGTTTCCATGTCGTTTCAGGTGTGCATTAATGCAGAGTGTGTGGATGTGGAGAAGACATACAGGACAGCCAACTGCTCCTCGAAGTGCAAGGGACATGCAGTAAGTTTGGAAAGCAGATATCCCCAGCTTGATAAGCCTTACGCAATTTCAGTTCTGTCGTGATGGTGCTGAAATAATACCTTCAGCACACAGTGATCACAGTTAATTAGGTTTATCTGACACTCAGGAGCACATAGCATGATGCACGGCCTCTGAGAGCCCATTGCTGAAATCTTTGCATGCCGTTAATACTTCACCTGAGCAGATGCAAGCCAGAAGAGCAGGGGTCCCTCTCATGTCAAAATCAACTTCATTGTGAAAGAGTGGGTGGGGCCTTGACTGGCGCACTAAGTCTCATGGTGACACAGCATCCTTCTTCCACTAGGTGTGTGACCATGAGCTGCGGTGCCAGTGCAAGGAAGGATGGGCCCCTCCGGACTGTGAGGATCCCGCCACAGTCTTCCGTAGGTAACCCTGCATCTCTGGCCTGAGAACCTGTCCCCTTCTGCCAAGCTCTTCCTCTGTGTTTCTGTTAGTCACTTTCCTGCTGCTGGGACAAGAAATGCCCAACAAAACTGACTCAAGAAATGTGAGGCTTATTTGGGACCACGGTTGGAGGATGTCATCTCTTATGTTGGGGAAGTCATGGTATCAGGGGGAAGCATGAGGCAGCTGCTCACATTGCTTCCACAGTCAGGAAGCAGAAAGATGAATGCTGGCGTTCACCTCTCTGCCTCTTCTTTTTTAAAAACATTATTTTATTAAAATTCGTTTCCTAGAAGGTACTTTGAATGTATTCTTTTTCCCAGATCCTCTCCACCTCCCTATCCACCCAGCTTCATGTTCTCAATCTCTCTCTCTCTCTCTCTCTCTCTCTCTCTCTCTCTCTCTCTCTCTCTCTCTCTCAAAAATCAAAACTAAAAAAAAAATAGAGCAAAACAGAAATGAGACAAAAAGTACCAACACAAAACAAAAACTGCACAGAAACACATGGAGTCCATCTTGTGCTGGCCAACTACTCTTGGACTCTGGGCTTGTCCCGGAGTGTGATTGCTAGACCCAGGGAGGCTCTACTTGAGACAACTGACTTTCCCTCTCCCAGCAGATATCAATTACAAAGAGCTTCTTGGTTAGGGGTGGGACTTGGTGACCACTCCCTCTTCTCCCTGCTGGGAGTTTGTCTGGTTTGAACCTGTGTAGGTCTTGTGCATGCTGTCACAGTCTCTGTGAGTTCATGTGTATCAGTCCTGTTGTGTCTAGATGGTCTGTTTCCATGGAGTCACACACTACCTCTGGCTCCTGCAGTATTTTTGGGTCCTCTTCTGAATAGATCCCTGAGCCTTGAGGTGAGGGTTTGATAAAGACACCCATTTAAGATTGCTCTCTGATCTTAGTCTCTGGCCCTACCAACATTTAGGGTAGGTCTTTCTACCTCATTTAATTTAATCTAGTAACTTCCTCACGGATAGATACTCCTAGAGCTTTGTCTTATAGATGGTCCTAGATCCATCAGGTTGACAGTATTATTGACTTTTATCCTAGTATATAGGGTTCATTGTCTTCTTTCTGTCCTCTCAAATAACTGTTCTGTAGCTATTGACACATAAAATTCATCCCAAAGTCTCTTTAGCAACATTCAAATCCTATTTTCAACACCCTTACATTGTCAATCTTCATATAAAAAAGTATTTTCAAACTTTTCATTTATAACATTATGTGAATATACCATATTTTTTGTTTGCTTTATGTTTTTTCCATTTTCACAGTAGACATAGTGCTAGGTAATATTAATTCATGAGACTCTCTGAGAACATGACTTGGAGTATGATGATAGTCTGGGTCCTGTTCACTGAGTTATTTTCCTTTATTTTGAGGTATGCTATCCTATTCATTCAAACGCTGTCTACAGGTGCTGTCCTGTTCACCCCCATGCTGCCTACAGGTGTTGTCCTGTTCACCCACATACTACTTACACGTGCTCTCCCATTCACTCACATGCTGCCCACATTTCATTTGACTCGTGTTCTTTGGCATGTGTTGTCTTTGTTAGACCAGGGAATAAGCTGACTCGAACTGGCCCACATGGGTCTTCCTTGCATTTTGAGTCTTTGTTGCTCCTCCTGACACTTCTTTGGGTGGAAGACAAGACTGTGAAGGGGAGGCAGGCCACCCTGTAGGCCATCAAGGAGGGAATGAGCTGCGTGGGAACCTTTGCTTTGGGTTGCCCTCATGAAGAGTACTCTAAGCTGAGAGAGAGCTCTTTAGGAATTTGTTGCTGGAGGGCTTCTCTCCAGGTTCCACCAAACCCCGCAGTCCCACAATCCATGTATAAAATAATCACTCAGACGCTTCTATTACTTATAAACTGTATGGCCGTGGCAGGCTTCTTGCTAACTGTTCTTATATCTTAAATTAACCCATTTCTATAAATCTATATCTTGCCACGCCGCTTGTGGCTTACCGGCGTCTTCACATGCTGCTTGTCCTGGCCGTGGCTGCAGTGTCTCCCTCCTTCTTCCTGTTTCCCCAATTCTCCTCTCTCCTTGTCCCACCTATACTTCCTGCCTGGTCACTGGCCATCAGTGTTTTATTTATATAGAGTAATATCCAGAGCAGGAATTCCCTTCCTATTTTACTGAATGCACTCCTTAAACTCCTTTCTCTACGTAGTAAGAGGTGGACGTCTGGGGTCAGATCCAACCAGCTTTGGGTACTCCTGTACCAAGTCCCAGTGATGCTAGGGAGAGATTCCCGGAGCTTTGTCCCAGGGTTCATGAAACAATACTGCTCTGTGTACACAGAGGATGGGAATGGAGATGTGGTTAGGGATGGGCCCAGTTGAACTGTTTGTCCTAAGGTCAAATACTTTTTAGCCATTTCAAACAAAAGAATAACATTTAATTTTAATGTTTATGCTTCAACTTACTCCTTCTGTTTACTCAATTCCTTTGCTTCCTATCTTCTTGGAGATTCTAAACTCCATTACCTTTTAAGGTTATATGATATTATAATACAAATATATTATTATCTGCAATTTATCATGCTTGTGGTGGGGTCTGGGGGTACATTCAGAAGCAAATCAACTATTTAATTAGAAAGCTCTTTGATGATTCCAATTTTCACTAACATAACCTTCAACTGTGGCTTTTCCCTTCTTGAAACCTTTATTTTTATTTATCTATTAAATTGTGGGAGTTCTGAACTCTTATTTGGTTGGTAAAGGTTACACATACAAATTTTACATTATCCTCATTAATCCATTCCATAAAGTTCAGAAGAAATACTGACACCCAGTGGATCATCCAGCCAGTCCACAAGCACAGAGAGAGGCCTGACATCTGCAGGCTGCAAGAGCTATGGCTTTGGGAAGAGCTCCACCATGTAGTGTGTGGTTCTTACCATCCAGCTTGGAGAAGACACAGCACTCTCTGCCCCCACTGTCGCCATTATAAGTAATGTTTGTAGCAGAATTCATACCCAATAAACAAGTTAAGACCACAAAACTTGCTAAACCTATGAGTAATCTTTTAGAAAGTTTGTCTTCACCCAACTTTCTAAACTGTATTTAGGAGCATTTATTTATGTCACTAAATATCTCTATTTATATAGAAATAAATAAAGAAGCTATCATGGAACCCACAGAAACAAGATTAGGTTTTTAAGTCACTTCTACATTCATAACTGTATTGGAATAGACACTGCTTTATTTTGTCCTTATTTAATTGTCAGGGAAAACCATAAAAGTATGTACTTATGAGATTCTGTGTGATATTTTGGTACATGTTTACATAATGTAATGTTGATGTTAATTTAAACACAACTGCATCTTCAAACACTTATCATTTCCTTTATTTTGGCTGAGAAAATTTTATTTTATAATCTGCTTTTATTTTTCCTGGCTTCTACTGAAATAATTAAAATTTACTTAGTGAGGTTTGAAAAGTCATACCACACAAATTTTTTTTACAATGAATGAGTTTGTGCCCACAAGTAGGAAAAAGTGTGATTTGCCAATATAAATGCACAATTATTGTTCCAGCTTGATGTATAGCTTTTAAGTAGTTAGTTATATGACAGGAAACCACTGTTTTTCATTGGACCCACCCTAGCAGAAGTCAGGGTCAGGCTTGTATCTGAGAAGACTCTAGTTTCTCTATAAACATGGCTGTCATGTTTCAATTTCACTACCCAGGGCTTAATCACAGGCTCTAAAAGCATGGGCAAAACTAACTTCTTATCCACATCAAAAGAGCCATGACATGTGTGTAAAAAAAGTAAACATGCTGCATACATACATTATCAGATAAAGTACAATAAAGAACATTCATCATTTCTTTATGGTCAAAGGTACTCATAAATCCCGGTTCCAAAATTTTCAACTGTATAGTGAATTTCTATCTATACTGTCCCTAGTGTGTGATACAGCAGGGACATTTATAGCTGACTATTACATATCCCACTCCTCCTCACTCTCCCCACCACTGCCCTACTACCATTTGCTTCCTAACATGCAAGAAAATTGGGGTTTTTCCTATTTTATTTAGTTAATACTTAGAATAATTACATGGTAATCAGAGAATATATTATGTGGAGCATATGCTGAAATTCATTATGGCTTAGCACATAATCATGTTTACAGATTTTCTGTGTATGATCAGAAAACATGTAAACATGAACTTTGTATTTTGTGTCCTCCTGTGCCTACATGTGTTCTGTGTGCCAGGTTGGTCTATACTGTTGCTCATATATAATCCCAACTATTAGTTTATTTATTTATTTATTTATTTATTTATTTATTTATTTATTTATTTATTTATTTATTTATTGTTCTACCAAATACTGTGTAGAAATCTTAAAAATAACCACTCTAAAAGGTGTAGTTGGGGGTTGGTGAGATGTCTCAGCAGTTAAGAGCACTTGCTACTTTTATGGCCAATGATGGTTTAATTCCCAGACCTCCTGGTTCACAACCATCTGTAACTCCAGTTCTAGGGGATCTGTCACCATCTTTTGGCCTCTTTGGGTACTACAATCATAAGGTGCACATACATACATACATGTAATCATATACATTCATACATAAATAAAATAAAAATAAATGAACCTTTGACTTCATTTTGATATTATGACTTGGTACTGTCTGTGACTATGTAATTAGAAATCATGGTATTATCTGTATACATATTTGGTATGCTCATGTCACCACAGTGCCCTGATGCTGTGTGTCTCTATGGCTTCTTGCCTTTTAAAGTCTACAGTTCCTGGAGACCAAGATAGCTGAACCATAATTCATCATCTGTTGGTGTTGCTATAATATCTTCACATTTGCATTCATCCTTTTTTAATCCTTTTGAAACTTGAATATTTTAAGAAAATGGTGCATTTTAAAAATCCTTGCTATCTCACATTCCTTGGGTTTAGCTTTATTTTTCAAAATTTATTTGGGGGAACAAATTACTGATGTACTGGGACACAAGCCCTCAACATACCGTGTAGTTTCTCTGTCCCTTGCCTCACTGAAGTGTCTTTTTACACTTTTTTTTAAAATTTTGTTTTGTGTTGTATTATAAACCAGTTGGCCATTTTATTAACTGTTTTTTTGTCTTTTATGAATTTGGAGGGTGTGCATTTTTTATTTGATATCCTAAAATTTCCCACATCTCTTAATTTGTTTAACTAGATTTTCCTTTTAGAGCATTTTTAGATGCATAGCAACACCGAGCACAATGCACAGGGGTTCTCTTATACCCCTGCACCCCCAGTATAGAGTGGCGCATTAGCTGTAGTCCATAAACATATACTGGGACGCCACTGTCATCCACAGCACAGTTCCTGTTAGGATTTGCTCTTGGTTGCTTTTCTGTGTTTCTAAACCATTCCTCCTCCCCTTCCTCCTGCCTCTCAGTTTTGGTTGTCAGTCCTGGAGATTGCACCCAGGACCTCGTGCATACAAGGCAAGCATTCTCCTACCAAGTTACATCTGAACCTTCTTTCTGGGGTCATTTTCATCTCTGCCTTTTCTTAAATTACATTTGTATCACTATGTTGAGGATCCCGTACAATGCATTCTGACAGCATTGATCCCTCTCCCCGTCCCCCCAGAGTCACCCCCTCTTACCTCCCTCTCCACACAACTTCCAGTCATTGTCATCTTCTTCTACTCTTCTTCCTCATCTACTCCACTTTTGGGGGCAGAGGTAGGGCCTGCCCCGGAGTGTGCTGACCTGCTGGGGGTCACACCATTAAAGAAACTGACTCTCCTTCCTTTATATTTTTCTAAATTCTTACTACCTCATCAATGTCTATAAAGAAAATCTTCTATTTTTTTAGTACTTTCATGGATTGAGGATGTTGTTTTGTAAAAGCTTCATGCTATCTGCTGTTGAAGACCTCTGTTACTAGCAATAAAAGAAGCTAGACTTGCTGTTCAATCATTTCTATCTGAAATTGCACATTTACTGTCTGTTATTAGTATTATTATTTTACCCCAAGCCACAACTTTGTCCTCTCCGATTTGGAGTGTTTGTAAGCACTGACAGTATTCCAAATGCTCTGATATAATGTTCGTAAGATACTTATTATTCTGACATTAGTTCAAATGTGCCCACTCACCCCATTCTGAAGCTAAGCTGTATCTAGCAGAAATTCCACAGCATTTGGTTTTTCTTTGATTTCCTTGAACAATGATTTTATGGAAGCTAAAGAGAATTGTACATTTGAACAAACACCCTTTTCTTACCTTGATTTCTGCTTTCTGGGGTGTCTACCTCTACCTGCGTGTTTTGTCTTCACACGTGTAAGCTTTTCTTTGTATTTTTGGAGCTGTCAATCTTGCTACTGGACTATGTACTAAGAGCAGTGGCTCCTCTGCTCTTCAGATGTTTGTACTTTCCAGTCTCTGTTGGTTTCAGACGATTAGAAGAAAAAGGAGCACTTGAGATTGCAAAGGATCCAGGACGAATTTATTACTTAGACGCAGAGGTGAAGAACAAAGGCAAAGGATGAACTCTGCCCCTATCATGTTTTTATTTATACTTCTGCTATTTTTTTGCCAACATATCACAGCTACAATTTCTTTCTCATTTCATTCCAAAGCTGGATTTAAAATGTTTTTCCTGCTCTGACATCCTCCTTATTCCATATCCTCCTGCAGTCTCCCAGACTCCATTCTATTTCTGCAGCCACCTTTCTTCCCTTCCACCCTTCTCTTCCCTTCTTATTTCCAGTAAGATATTTAACCCGCCTCCTGTGGAAGGTCTCCTATTGGATTTTACTTGCTGTTTTAACATTAGCTCCACAATCATGATCAACACTGTTTGCATTTACCAACTCTGTTAGTGTTCTCTTCCTTCCTTCCTTCCTTCCATCCTTCCTTCCATCCTTCCTCCCTCCCTCCCTCCCTCCCTTCCTCCTTCCCTCCCTTCTTTCCTTCTTTCTTTCCTGCTTTCTTTCTTTCCTGCTTTCTTTGTTTCTTTCGACAAAATACTTGATGGAAGTGGCTTAAGGGAGGAAGGCTTGCTTTGGCTTACACTTTTGAGGTTACAGTCCATCGTGGTGGGGAAGACACAGTAGTGGGAGAACAGAGAGGTGGTAGGTCACATGGTCCCTGCAGTCAGGGAGCAGAGAGAGATGAATGGATGCAGTACCCATAGGGTTTTCAGCTCATTCCCCTCTTCAGTTCAGCCTGGGAACCCAGCCTGTGTTCAGGGTGGGTGTTCCCTCTGCTCCCTCCATAGACATGATGACAGTGAAGGTTGACCATTATATATAACTTCCCAGGAAGAAAGGTTCATATGGTAAAAGCTAGATAAAATTTGTGGCAAATAAAATAGTCAGACCAGATGCAATGGCATGCCATTGTAATTCTGTTACATGGGAGTCTGAGGCTGGAGGATCACAGCAAGTTTGGGACCAGCCTGGGTTACATAGTGAGTACAACACCAGCCTGGGATATGTGGCTAAATCCTTTCTGAAAAGGAAGGAAGGAAGGGGGGAGGGGAAGAAAGAGGAAAGACAGGAGGAAAGGATGGAGTGATGGAGGGAGGGAGGGAGAAAGGGAGGGAGGGAGGGAGGAAGGAAGGAAGGAAGGAAGGAAGGAAGGAAGGAAGGAAGGAAGGAAGGAAGGAAGGAAGGAAGGAAGGGAGAGAGACAGACTGGAGTGTGACAAGATCCTTGGTCCTCAGTAGAGTTCCTGTAAGATATTTAACCCACCTCCTGTGGAAGGTCTCCTATTGGATTTTACTTGCTGTTTTAACATTAGCTCCACAATCATGATCAACACTGCTTGAATTTACCAACTCTGTTAGTGTTCTCTTCCTTCCTTCCTTCCTTCCTTCCTTCCTTCCTTCCTTCCTTCCTTCCTTCCTTTCTTTCTTTCTTTCTTTCGACAAAATACTTATCTCTCTTGTAGATTTCTCCATCGTGGTTGGTGTGCTCTTCCCCCTGGCAGTCATATTTGTGGTGGTTGCTATAGTGATCCGGCACCAAAGTGCCAGAAGGAAGCAGAAGAGAGTTCAGAGGTAAGCCTTCATGTTCTTTGGGGATCCTTTAACCTCTACTGCATTTGACATTGGATTCTATGACTTAATCCTTCAGGTTTAATTTTATTTTACTTCAAATATTAAGAAAAGCTCACAGGAATGTTTTTCATCAATCAGAGGCTAGGTGTCCCTTTGACTAAGCAATCTCTCGCAGCCAGATACACATCTTTTTCTCCTTGGAGTGGCTATTTTTGTAATAAATAACAACAGTGACAGTAGGCCTCATTATTAAATATTTTTGCATTTACTATAAGAATAGAAGAGAGCACATTCATTGATTGACAGTTGTCTAGGATTGCTCTGAGGCTTTTCTATCATCTCACTTAATCTTTGAGAGGACTTCATGCCGCAGCTGTAGTCTTCCTGCTCTCTGGATGAAACATGACTTCTACGTCTCTTAAGGCTATGGAACTCACGTTTAATGGGAGACAGAAAGGTTACCAAAGGCCTCTGAATTCTTCCAGAGTGAGAAGTTGAGGCTTGATTGGCATGCAGATCCTTCCTCTTACAAATGCCATCTTAACACAGCAAGATTATTTTCCATCTTTTCCAACACTAACTTATTTTGGTGGAACTTATTTCATACAGAATGACTCTTAGGGAAATACTTAATGAATCAAAAATAATAAAATGTCATAATTTAGATAAAAGTTGGCTTAACATCATCATCATTAGGGATCAAGGAACAAAAAGAAAATGTCTAGTAGTAGTTACAAACCACAGGGTAATAATGGTAGGTAACTTGCAACTAACAGCTGAGGAGTGTGCTGGGAGAAGACAGAAGCCTGGTAGTGGAGCATGGAACAGTGACCAGAGGAAGTTGTCCACCCTCTGTTGAGTCTTTCCAGCATGTTGATGGTGCTGTTTAGTTTACAGGACCTGTTTTTACTTACAGGCCACCGTCCACCACAGATGCCAAGCTGCATAAGCAGAAGTGTAAACCCCAAAAGGTGAAGGCAGCTCAACCCCAGGAGGTGAGTTCAGGTTTGGACTGTTTTTTTGTGATGGCCCAAGTTTATGATTTACTCCCTTCTTATATTATTCTGACCATGTGTCTGCCATTTGGGCACAGCAGTGCCTACCCCACATCAGCCGATAGCAAGGACTGTGAGCTCTATGCTCATGTACACAGTCAACTTCCCCTAGTGTTTTGTTAACACAAAAAAAAGCCCTTGATGAAAGGGCTCATGAAAGACAAAGAGAATAAAGGAAAGAAAGGTTGACAGCTTCTCCCTCCCTGCCTTTCCCGTCCCCCCCCCCATCCCTCTCCCCTACCTATCCCCCTGCACACTCCCTCTCATTCTGTCCACTTTGACTCATTAATTACTACTACTGGTAAACTCCTCTATACATAAAATGATGTGTATGTTTGTATGATCAACCATGTAACATGCATGACACTTACAGCCCTTGCCATGTCTTATGTGTTCAGGGCTTTGAGCTGAAGCAGATCGATAGCATAGTATCAGTACTGATGGTGGTGACACTTTCCTGGAAGTGCTGGGGAGATTCTCCTATAAATGCTACAACTGGGTTGCTGGGGTCTCTTCTGCTGGCTGTGCTTCGGCATCTGGTGCTTTTGGTGTAAAGTTGGACTTCTTTATTTTAGATGAGTCAGATGAAGAAGCTCCATGTGTCTGATCCGCCCATGGAAGAGAATGAGCCTTCACCAAATGTTGTGAGTTAGCAACTTCTCTTCTCTTTCATCCAGCCAACCTCAAGGGAATGTTCCCAAAAGACATAACCCACAGTGTTCAACTATTGATTCAGAAGAATGTTGAGATTTGCGTGCATTTAATGTAAAATATAAATTCTTCTGAAAAACTCTTTTTTAAATGCTAAATGGAGGAATATATGCCTCTATGTTTTTACTTCTGAATTCATCCCTTACATTAAGAACCTAGAAGTGGAAGTTGATAATGTAGAATATTCATTTCTTAGCTGGGGTTTCTATTGCTGAGTTAAAGCATCATGACCAAAAAGAACTTGGAGAAAAGGATTTGTTTCAGCTTATAGCTTATATGTCCATCACTGAGGGAAACCAGGGCAGGAACTGGAACAGAAGCCAAAGAGGAAGGTTGCTTTCAATGGCTTGCCCAATCTGCTTTCTTATACAAGTCAAGACTGCCTGCCTGTCCAAGGGTGGTACCACCCACAATGAGTTGGGCCCTACCCCATCAATCATTCATCAAGCTGATATTCCATAGATCTGCCTAAAGGCCAATCCTAAAGAGGCACATTCTTAATTGAGATTTTTATCTCCCCATATATATATCCAGGTTTGCATTAAGTTGGCAAAAACCAGTCAGTACAAATCTTCTGCTCCATAGAATCCATTTTTAGTCCAGGTTGATGCAGAAAAAAAAAATAGCACAGGCAATATAGATTAAACAACATTTATTTCTGCCCATTCTTGAGATTAGGAATTCTAACATTGAGGATCTGGAAGATCCTGGTGTCCAGTGAGGATGGCTTCCTGGTCTATCAGTTGGGGGTTGGGGTGGAATGGAGAGAGAAAAGTGGGGAGGGGAGAAAGAATAGGCAAAGGAGAGATACAATCATCTCTTTGTATCTTCATTGATCCAATTCTGAGAACTACCCCCCCCCACACACACACACACATGCACAAGATGTGAATGCCACCAAACCTAACCATCATGCTGGGGATTAGGACATTAACATATGGTTTGTGTGGATGCAGAAATTAATCCACAGTAACCATTGTCATCACAAGGCTGTTGACACCGTGCTTATGTCTAGATTATATGCAGGCAACTAAATGAAAGTGTCAAACTCATGGGTTTAGAATTATTTGCATGATTAAGTTTCCAGAGTCTCTGTCCCTGAAGAAGAGTTAAACATTTTCAGTATGCGCACACATTTTGAAGAACCTACTCCAAGCTGATTTTCCCTTTTTATCTTCTTACTAGCTAATCACAAAGCCAGATTTCCCACCACCACCAATTCCTGTTTCCTTGTAAGTATCAGACGGTCACTGGTGGATTTTCTGTCTGCTGGCTCTAATCCACAGTCTCTTTGTCATCGCTCCTGAGGCTACCCTAACCTCATCATAGCACATTTGTTCTGGAGAACCTGGAAGGGCGAGGCCTCCTCCTATAGTGATTTCACATAGCTACTGAATCTTTATTATGACAAAACAGTTCTTGTATTTCATAACTGTTGAGAAATAATTAATATGTCTATTGTATAAGGTAAATGTCGTCCAAAGAATTGTTTCTGGATGCTCATTCTAGAGGATTAGATATTTATAAGTTGATGGTTATTTTTATAAGAGGTGGAGAATGGGAAGCAGATACATGAAGGCAAGTTGGAATAAGTCAAGTGTTTTTTAAGTAAAAGGTAGAATCCATCTACTCAAGAGTAGTTCCTCCTGCCTAGCCCTCTGTTGTATGTAAAAGAGGAAGAGCCAATGTTCCTTTTGTCAAGATGTTTTGCAGTTTTAGTGAGCAAACAAGTCACACATGCCTGGTGTGCCTAGCTCATCAAATATTATTTGTGTCAAAGTGTGCAATGTTATTGAGAAAACATTGTGATGTCGTGTGAATGGAGCTGGTGAAGCAGAAGACCCTTGGCCCTTGTATTTGGAGAATGAACTGGCCCCTGAAAATTGGGTGGCTCCTACGTGAGTAGTGAGGAGGTAGGCAGTAATTTCATGAAGGAAGTAAGCTTGGCTAAGATGAAATAAACATGCCATATCTACTGGCTGACTTATTTTTCTGTTTTACCCTAGTGACACACAAATCACTTTATTTTCCTATTTTCAAAATAAGCCCATTTCTTCCCCCACTTAAGAGAACTACAATGAGACTATTATTGTTTTGTATCACCCCAGTGCCAAGGAGAAAAGCACCAACCATGTATTCTAAGGTGTTTACTCTGGGGCAGGGACTGACATCAAGTGTCTTGATTGTTTTTCAATAACCAAGAAAGAGGAGACTGAAATATCACAGCTACAAAGCTGAGGTGACCCCACTTCCTTACTTTCTCATACTAATGCACAAGAACTGTGTGAATAGATGCAACATCTCACAGAAAGCTCGCCTACATCCTTAACTCCTTCTGCATCTCATCTTCTTAGTAGGCTGCTTGCCATGGTCTACTTTCCTATGGCCATAGTGCCTCCTGCCCCTGTCCTCCTTCTGCTAACTGCCCACAGGAGCATTTCAATCCCAGAGTGAGAGCTGTCTCACCTGCCCTCCTGACCTTCTGCTGTTCCTAATTCTTCATTGTTGATGTATTAAATAGTTTATAATGTAGAGAGCAGGGTTTCAAGGAATTCTTTTAGTTTTCTTATTAGCTTCACCTTATACCTATTTACTTCACTAAATTTTTAGGATGCTTTGATGATCTGAGAAAGTCTTTCTTTAAGGGACTCAAACACAAAAGTCTGAGGCGACAGCTAATGCAGGGTTGGCGATCACATGATCAGGTTGGAAGCCTGGATGTTTTGGATGGAAAAGAGATACGCTCACTTCCTTATTACTATTGCTCTCGACACTCAAAGGTTAGCATTGCCTGGTTTGTGCTCTATTTGGAAGAGATTAAAATTTTCAAGAGAGATACACTTTTGAGAATCTTTGTCATAGTTTAAATAATCTCCTTTCTATATGCATAGGTAGTTGGCTAAGGAGATACATAAACTATAAAACTCTAATTAGTTGATCACCTACTCCTTTGTTTTACTATGATGTTGACTGCTTAAATATCTTTGACAACCTTAACTTCCTCATTTGGGAGGGATTGATGTTCCCTCTAATGAAAATATAACATAACATAACAAAATCGTAAGAAACTGGCTTGGGGGTGCATTCATTATTAAGTAAGTAGCAGTGTCTTGATTCTTTTAACTTGTCAAATCAGAACATCAAGTTAAGAAAAAAATATGTAAGCACTTCCTCTTCAATATGTCTTTGATACCCTTTCTTCTAAAGTCTTGACTAACTATGCTATTTTGGAGTTTTCTACAATACAGTAAAATGTTTTGGTTAAAAAAATTAATCACAGATTATTTTTATGCTAACTACTGGAGTGGTTAAAGTGAGATTCCCTTTTGAAATAGAGAGTGGTTCAGTTAAAGAAATGAACATAAACCAGAAGTTATAAACTGGTGACATACAGGCAAGGTTTGGATTGCAGATGTGTTTTATTTGGTCTAAATCAAAGATCCTGACCACACATCTCTTTTTTTTTAAATTGTTTTGAGTTTATAAGAAATAATTTTTAAATTGTGAGATCTTGCATAAACATCCAGATTCCTGGATTGTAAAAAATAATCAGATGGCCTGTCAACAACAGAATCACACTACCCATAACATCTTCAGCTTCATGGACAGATGGTAGAACAAATATGGTTGGCTGGGTACCAGACACTCCCCTGCCTTGCTTTCAGAATCCTGATTTTATCTAGCTGTTCATTTTTAGAACAATGGATGTAACTCCATACATGCTATGCTAACCCACTTGTAACAATCAAAATTTCCTTGCCAGCGATTTGTAAGTGAATGGGTAACCGCCCCCCCCCATTTTGTCCCTGTGAGATGAGGGAGGGGGTATGTTGGAGAATTTCTGAGGAATGTTTCCCCATTCGTCCTTTCTTCTGGTTGTTGACATCTGGTACTGCTACAGCTGTGCTGTGATCTGAAGACAAGGATGGTGTGGACAAGATAGAGCAGAAAGATAAACAGAATTCAGCTGGACTTCCTAAGATGTTATTGAACTGGTAGATTAACAACTGTTGAACGGGGTCCACTTTTTGCTGGGACATTTTGTACAATCAATAAATTTTCTTTGTTGTCCAAACCATGTCGAGTTGGGTTTTCTCTCGTGAAGTTGCAGTCACTCTAATGCATGAATTAGCTTTGCCATTACCAAGGTGCCTGCTCTCCTGTTACCAAGCTCTCATTTTCCTTTATTATATTTGTGCTGTTACGTTCATTGCCAACATGATTTGTCCCTGACAGTGTTTTCAGTCTGCATCCAAGAGCACAGTTCAACATCCAGTAATTCTAGAGTCCACCTATCAAACAATTCTCATTGTTGGAGCCCTTTTTTTCCATGAGGAAGTTTCTTAAGTATGGAGCTACTTAAGTATGGTTGAATCTTGGGGATAAGACTATAAACTTAGAACACCTTATTCTGGCCTGGATATACATTCCTATTTCCTATGAAGTCTAAATCTGCTTATGAGGAACCTTCACACCCCCGACCCCATTGTTTCTGTTCATTTAGTTGCATGTTTCCTTGCGTTCATAACTCTTCCCAGCCACAGATTTACTTTATCCTCTTTAACAACTACATTTATTTGCTATGTATGTGTGTACTGGCCAGAAGACAGCTTACAGGAGTTAGTTGTCTCCATCCACCATTCACTGTGTGGGTCCTTTACCCACTGAGTTATCTTGCTGACTCACACATTATGTAGAGTGTGCATGGGTGATGTGATGTGTGTATGTTTGTGTGTGTGTTCACACACCCATGCATGCATGCATATGGAGCTCAGAGGACAATTTAATAAAGTCAGGTATTTCCCTTCATCTTTATGTAGGTTCTAGGGATTAAATTCAGGACACCAGGCTTGCTCTGCAAGCTCCTTTACCTTCTGAACCACCTCACCAGGCCTCACATTATCTTTTACGATGTTGACTAATTAAAAATCGTGAACCTAGAACTCTCAAGTAGCCACTTGTCATGTGTGGAGCTACAAATAAGTCATACACTCACAGAGAGCAGTGTTTGGACATGCTGTGGTTTGGTAAATGATGTTACTTTCTCCTTGATCAACCAAATAGTTCAAACGTTCCTAACACATCTAAAAGGCTCTAATCACAGAGGACCTCTTTTACATTCTCTCTTTCTCTGTTCTTTATTTCTCTCTTTTTGAAAATGTAGTAGCACAGCCAATCTACTTGAGATTGCCAACAGCCAGTCCCTTCATTTATCTCACCCACTCTTTCACAGTTCTTCGCCTGACTCTTTGGTGGCTTTGGAGAGCTTCAGTTTGTTTTCACAATTACTGGTTTTATGTTGTCAGTCTTCTTCCTTAATTTCAATTTGTTTTGTCATTGTTCATCATATTTGCTTATTCAGCAGCAATAATCAATTTAAAAAATGTTTAGTGCTAAAATTAATGCATTAGTCCCTCTCAGACTTTTGGCTAAGGTAAAGGGCAAATTTATGTGATGAACAATCATACATTATCTTCCAGAGGTTCCTTGTGTTGAAGTCGGGTTTACTGGAGGAGTAGGCTCTGTCTGAAAAGGATGACTAGCAAACTGATTATGGAGTGTGTTCATGCTCCCATTAGTGTGATGGGAAGTGAACAAGCAAGAGCAGGCGGCATGAGGAAGGGGCCTTAATATGCCTCAGTGAAGGCTTTGACTGACCACACTCCAGCTCTGATCACGGAGTCCTTCTCTAATGTCAATCAACCACAAACACCCGTTGCTCCCATCAGAGATGAAGCCTTGGGCAGAATGACTTTTATAAGTGGGAAGAACTTCCAAGAAAGGTTAAACACTCTTGTGGACAACACTGGTAACCACTTGGGGGGGGGTGTTCGATGCTGGATAGGTATCTTGGCACTCATGCTAGCCGATTTTATTATTTCTACTTATTTCCTTGAACTTCGTGGTATCTGATTTGTCTTTCAATGAATACTTTTCAATGTGGCTACCTGTCAGGCAGTAGCCAGGGATGACTATCAGCTGACAACATGATTCACTAATGGCTCATGCCACAAGAGCAAACCCCAAATAGTGTTAGTTCTACTTAAGCATAGTTCATCAAAATTACCAAGTTTCACAAGAGCCATAACACAAACTGCAAAAAATAAATCATGGCAGTGGCTATTTCCCTTCTTAATATCCACCTCTGATACCCTGCCATGATTGGAAGAGACCCACATTGAGCATCTTGGTTGAGACAGGGCATCTCTGCAATTATAGCACTTAAAATGTATTCCTTATGCTCACTCATTCCCAGCCTCATTGTGTTGATTAATGGGTCTGAGGATCTGCTCTCCAGATGCACCCTTCCAGAGATAAAGCAGCAGAGTTGTGTATGGTGGTGAACAGGATGTTGAGTTTTAGTGCTTCAGGAAGCCCAGGCAGTGGGGCTGGATGCTGGTTCAAGTTTGGTTTGGTGCAAATAGTACCATCACGCCTGAGGCAGAGATGAGATGGGTACCACTCTACACGAGGTGAGCTGGAAATTTTGATTACATAGCCACCAAGTCTCCTTCTCTACACTCTTGCTTCAACTACCCAAGTTAATTTCCTACTATTTTTTAATTTCATAAAATGTCTATAGCATAAAAGTACATGACTCAGTGGCTTTGCCTACATTCACAATACCATGCAACTGTGACCGCTATAAGTTTCTAGATTTTGTCTGCTCTCTCAGAGTGTCTTTATCCATTAAATAGCAACTCCTTGTTATTTGTTGTTTCAATCCCCAGTAATCCCTATTTTAGTTTCTAGTTCTGTGAATTTACCACCCCAAATACTTGTACTTGTGTGAGATTGTGTGTGTGTGTGTGTGTGTGTGTGTGTGTGTGTGTGTATTTACATGCCTGGATTATTTCCCTTAGTAGAATGTTTCCAAGCTTCACCCATTGTTACAGCACTTACCTTGGGCCACATCATTTTTTAAAGCTTATTCCACCTAATCCCTCTTACTGTATTTGTTTCCTGCTTCAGATCACATATTTTATATATATGCCTCCATGAGCTCGTATACATCAACACCACTTTCATTCCTGTTCATTTTTTTTAGCCAAAATAATGCTTTCTGCTTTTCATCTTGACTTATATTTCTTGGAGACAAACCTAAGTTGATGATTTCATACTTTCTATTCCTAGTAGTATACAAACTTCATTTTAAATTTGAGTTTATGACATCCTCTTCTATATGCAAGGTTGTTTGGGGAACAACAACCAAGTGCCTGTCTTCACTCATGTGTTGACATCTTAGTTCTGTAACCATCATGGGAAAGACAATTTAAGGAAGTTCACAAATTCACTTAAGTGAAAAAAAATAGATAAACAGAAAAAAAATGACTATGGTTATCAGTTTCCCATAATGTCCCACTAACTTTCTTAAAAGTGACAGCCACTGACCTGCAAAAGTTGTGACATTTCTCTTAGAGAAATCTTCCATTCAAGCTAAGTATTATGACTCAGCAGAGGGACCTCCGGCCCCCTTCCCCCTTGTAAGTCAATGCACACCACTAAATTGACCTTCTAAACTCTGGCTGCCATGGTAACTTGCAGAGACATGTGTGTCTTTTGTGCCTATAATTGGCATGGGGCCTTCAGCATCCAGCTTCAAGCAAGATTTCTTTAATTTTTCATGCTACTAGCAAGACTGAGTAGAGCCACCAAAAAACTGAAGGGTCAAATGGGCAGAAAAAGGAACTTGAGAGGAAAATGTACTAGAGCAATGCAGAGGAGAAATAGGAAGACAGAAAAGGAGAACGTCCATGGCAGAGGGTACACAGCACCCAGGCAGGACCAACAGTCATCCTTCTGCTGTCAACAGCCGGCTTCCAGCCTGGTGCAAATCATTTAAACTTTCTGAACACCTTCAGATCTGTTCACCTATTAAATGAGATAAAATTCATAATTTTTCAACTGGCAAGGATGGTTCTATAGTTTGAATGTTGAGTGTCCCCAAAGGTCTATCAAGTAAAGACTTGGTGCTTTTGGGAAGGGGTGTAACTTTTAAGAGGTGGAGCCAGAGGGGAGGTAGTCAGGTCATTGAGGATCCTGTTGAAGGGAGTTGTGAGACCCTGCCCCACTACTTGTTCTCTCCTTTGCACCTCAGACATTAGGTGAATGACTATGTTTTCTTCACTGTAAATTATGGGCTCAAAGCAATATGGCCAACTAACCATCGACTGAAACCTCCAACAAATAGACATCTTTTCTTTATTAGTTGATCATTCTGGTGATTTGTCATAGTTGCCTCTGATTAGCCCAGAGCATTTTCTAAGAATCATATATAGGTAGTACAGAAGATAAAAAGTGCTGGGCATGGTGGCCCACGCCTTTAATCCCAGCACTCGGGAGGCAGAGGCAGGTGGATCTCTGGGGAGTTTGAGGCCAGCCTAAGCTACAGAGTGAGTTCCAGGACAGGCACCAAAAAACTACACAGAGAAACCCTGTCTTGAAAAACAAAACAAAACAAAACAAAAAAAAAGAAAAAAGAAAAAGAAAAATATATAGGGAGGTATTCTGATAATTTGGAAAGATAGAAGGTATATATACATTAATGGCTTATCAAAAAGATGAGTATTATTAAATGTCAATCACAGAGACACTCTGTATAGGTTCTTATGTCACACATATTTGTGGAGGATGTAGACTTGGAATATTTAATAGTGACTGTTACATTTCACACTGATAAGCATTCTTTGATTATCCCTTTATTTCCACCTTGGTATGCTTTTAGAATTTTCTTCATATCCCTTGTCAGTTTTCCACTTTTTTAATTAAATTTAAATCTCAGTTAGAACTTCTACATCAAATTGAATTCTCTTCTTGCTTTGAGGCTATGTGGAGCAATGGTTTTGGATTCCTATCATAGGGACTCAACAAACAAGAAATTTGCAGAACTTTTTAGAGAGAAACATTGCAGCCAGTTGTAGATTTGTGCTTTTAAACAGGGTAACATAATGTAGTGACACAAGCATACACATGCACCGTGCTTTATTTGTGTGGTATGTTCATTTAACTTTAGAACAATGTTCTGTAAAAATTGTCACATATTTCAAATGAGGAAGTTGAGATAAAGATGAAAAC